GCCGGGCGGGGCTGCCCGCCTGCTCTGCCGGGAGCCTGCTGTGCCTCAGCGGGGCCGTGTCCCCCGTGGCCGCACTCTGGCCCTGCAGGACGGTGGCGATGTGGTTCAGGAGGTCTGTGAAGAACTCACTCACGCCCTCGTAGCCTGGGGGGAGACAGTGCAGGGGGCATTAGCCAGGGGGTAGAGGGGTGGGGGGGATGGGGCGGAGCCAGGGGTCCCTGGGAAGGGGGTGCACTCAGTGTCCCGTGTACACAGAACACCAGGCTGGGCGGGTAGGGGCTGAAGTCGCACAGCCTGGATGCAAACCCGCATGCGTGCAGCCTCTGAGGGCTGGTCCTTGACCGTGGGCTGCCCCCAGGTTGTGAGAACTTGAGCTGGTGAGAAACACCCTGTGGCCGGGTCCCTGTGTGGACAGCCCTGTCTCATCTAATCACTCACTCACCCGCCCAGCATGGGACGATGCCAGCAGGTGGCGGGTGTCGGCAGGGCAGCAGGTGGCAGTGCCAAGGCCTGCTCCTCATTCGCTGAGTAACAACCCCACCCCCAACTCCCTCGGGCCCCCGTCTATAACTGAGACCAGGGCCCCACCAGGAGGGCTGGGATGCAGGTGGTGGCCGGCCAACAGCCAATGTGACCTGTGTCCTCTCCTTAGCTCAAAATCCATGTGGGAAGGCTGTGTGTGGCCCGTGTTCTGAAGATACAGCCAAGGCACCGAGACCGCGGGCACCACCAGCAGGGCCCAGGCACACGACAGGAAGGCTGCATCTCCAGCGCGTAAACCAACTGAACATCGCCCAACGTGGACGCCAGGGTGGACTGGGTTGTGGGAGCACCTGGGCAGGTTTAGAATCTGGGGAGAGAATCTGGCTGACTCCCCACGAACTGCTGCAGAGACTCACACAGGAAGGCTCTCCAGCTGCCGGTGACTGCCCGGAGGGGTGAGTGCTGGCACACAGTTCCGAGGCCTGGCCAGGGCAGGAAGCATGTCCCGAGGAGACCAGAGCGCCAACTCTGGGGATCCGGGCACTGCCTGGCCTGCTGTGCTTTGACCACCATGATGGCCCTGTGCTGCGAGCTGACTGACACCCCCTGACACCCAGTGCGGCCTCCGGGAGACACTCCCAGGCACTGGATGAGGTGGGTGGGGATGAAGGTTCAGACATGGGCCTGGGCGACCCCACAGGGAAGCTCTGTGAGCTGTACCCAGGGGCCAAGCAGGGGTGGCTGCCTTTACCCACCCTCCCTGTTCACTGACAACTGCTGTGGTTTTAGAACGCCTGAGGCCTTAGCGTAATGGCTATGTCGCTGGACTCCCATGTAGTTGACCGCGGTTCAAGTCCCGGATCTGGTGGCTTAAACTCACGCTGGGTGTGTGTGCATGTGTGCCCAAGATTCCGAGAGGAGAATGGAGCAGAAGGGTTTGCGGTGTGGCCATCTCCCCTGGGGGGTGATTTCTCGCTATATGTCTCTGTCTTTCTGGCGAGAGCATGCATCCTATAGCAAAAAAACTCTCAAAAAAAAAAATAAAAAATAAGGCAGGGAAGCCCTGCTTCACCTGAACTAAGAAACGGCTAGACGGCTGGGCGCAGGGCCTTCCCAAGTCCGACTGCGAGCACCACAGGACACCCCACTGAGCCTTCGTGGTGCCTTGCCCCCACGTTACAGATAAAGACGCAGGACAGTCAGATGTGCCGGTGCGGACTGATGGCGTCTGGCTGCCGTTTGTGGAGCACTCAGGAAGCACTGGCCAACCGGCGCGAGTGTTCACT